TCTGTTTTTAATTGTAATGGTTTGCCCCATGCAGCCCAGGCCTCTAGACAGTGAGTAATGACATGCTGTACTCGTTCCCCAGCTAACGGAGTAGCATGAAGCACGCCAGAGCAGGTGTCAATAGAAACATGAATATACTGTAACTTTCCGAAAGAGGAAAAATGAGTTACATCCATTTGCCACAAACTATTCGGAAGCAATCCACGAGGATTAACCCCAACAGGAGAAACAGGTGTAAAGGTTACGCAGACAGGGCATTGCTTCACAATCTTACGAGCAGCGGCACGGGAAATAAAAAACTTTTTCCGAAGTACCACAGAAGAAACATGATATAAAGCATGAAATTCTTGGGCCTGCAAAAGGGGATCTAAAATGGGAAAAGCACGAGTTGCCAAATCGACGCGTGCATTAGCGGACGCCATGGGTCCAGGCAATAGACTATGCGCACGTATATGAGTAATATAAAAGGGATTTACGCGCTGCAAAATACAAGCGCGCAACTTTACTAACAAAGGAGCTATAATGCTTGAGGGTTTAATAAAAGAAACTAATTCTAAATTCTTAACAGCATTTACCACATATAATGAATCTGAAACCAAATTAAAAGGCTGAGGAAACCTATTAAATACCGTTAATACTACTTCACACTCAACCAATTGAGGGGTATTAAGACAAAAAGTTAAAATCACGGGGTCATTACCCTCTACCATATAAGCACCTTTCCCTGACTTAGAACCATCAGTATAAATGGTCAAAGCATCCTTTAAAGGAGCTGAAGCAGTTATCTTGGGAAACAATATGGGATGATTGATTACAAATTTCAATAATTCACTTTTAGGCAAATGATTATCAAAAACATTAGGAAACATACATGCAAGAATAGACCACTCAGTCACAGTAGCTATCAAGACTTCCATTTGCTCTTTAGTATAAGGTATAATCAATTTATCAGGCATCACTGCAAAGCAACTCAAGCACTGTTTAATGCCTAAAATAGCTACTTCAGCAACCATGGAAGGATAATGAGTTAATGTTCGTAATCCAAGAGATTTAGTATGGATCCATAATAAAGGTCCATCCTGCCATAATACAGCAGTAGGAAATCCAAAAGTTGGCAAAATACATAACCAAAGGGGAAGGGATGGATCAAATCTAATCAATTGTGCAGCACTCATTGCTTGTTCCACTTTGGATAAGGCTGTAATAGCTTCTGGCGTTAAACTTCGGGGAGAAAGAAGATTGGAATCTCCTTCTAAAATGCGAAATAAAGGCATCAAATCATGACGGGTTAACTTTAAATAAGGACGTAACCAGTTTATATCACCTAATAATTTTTGAAAATCATTCAAAGTTTGTAAATGCTCAGTCCTAATTATCAATTTCTGTGGCAAAATTGTATGATGAGAAATCCGTGCCCCCAAAAACTGTGTTATGTCACCCCTCTGAATTTTTTTAGGAGCAAGATATAAGCCTTTCTCGTGCAAGCATTGCACTAGCACAGTCAAAGCATGTTCCAAATCTTCCATAATAGGAGCAGCTAGCAATATATCATCCATATAATGAATGATACGTAAAGATGGACACAATTTTCGAAGGGGCTGCAAAGCGGTATCCACATATAACTGACACATAGTAGGGCTATTTGCCATTCCTTGAGGTAACACAATCCACTGATACCGCTTATCCGGGTATTCATGATTCACCGTTGGCAAAGTAAAAGCAAAACGCTCCCTATCATTTTTATGTAATGGGATAGAAAAGAAACAATCTTTAATATCTACCACTATAATCGGCCAATCCCTAGGAAGAGTGGACAAAACCGGTAAACCACGCTGAATAGGTCCCATTAATTGCATCTGCTGATTGATGGCGCGCAAATCATGCAGTAATCGCCATTTACCAGATTTTTTCTTAATTACAAAAATAGGGGTATTCCAAGGGGAAGTAGACTCCTCTAAATGTCCCAAATGTATCTGTTCTGTAACCAATTGTGTGGCTGCCAATAACTTTTCTCGGGATAAAGGCCACTGAGGAACCCAAACAGGGTCAAAAGTCATCCAAGTAATAGGAATCATAGACTCAGTGGCCCTTAAGAAAAACCCAAGCCTGCCCGGTCTCTTTTTTGAATCAATTCCAAAGGGGATTGTATACCTTGTAACCGCCGGCCTAGGCCTCTGTCGGGAACATAACCTTGCTTCAGCATTATTTTCTGGGCTGCTTCAGAATAGTCATTGGTCAATGTCAACTTCATTTGAGATTGAACATTTCGACCCCACAAATTAAAAGGCAATCCATCTACTACAAAAGGCTGAAAACAACCACTATGCTTCTCAAATTTCCAAGTCAACAATTTTAAACTAAGATTAGGTGTTTTAGCATATCCCAAACCTTGTAGAGTTTGTGAAGACTGTTGAAGGGGCCATGCTTTTGGCCAATCTTGTTGGGTAATAATACTACGATCAGCGCCAGTATCTACAAGGCCTACAAATTTACGGCCCTCAATCCATAAAGTCATCATTGGCCGATCATCAAGAGACAAGGAAAGAAAAGCTGAATCAATGCCTGATGACCCAAATCCATGAGAACCCCGTTCAGCGGGCAAAGAGGGATATTTATCATG